GCCCAGGCCCCCCCGCCGTCCTGGCGCAAGGCTCAGCAGCCTCAGCTCCGGGAAAGCGCCGCGCTGCGTGCCAGTGCGGTTCCAAAGCCGAAGCCGCTCGCACATGCCCGAGCCGCAGCCCTGCGAGCAGGCAGCGCCGGCCCCCCGCCCCGCGGCCCCGGGCCCCGGCTCCGGCGCCGTCCCCCCTCCCCGGCCGGGCGCCGCGGCCCTGGCATGAGGAGCGGGCGATGATCCCGGCCAACGCCTCCGCCAGGAAGGGGCCCGAGGGCAAGTACCCGCTGCACTACCTCGTGTGGCACAACCGCCACCGCGAGCTGGAGAAAGAGGTCCGCGCCGGCCAGGTACGAGCGCCGTCGGGGCGCCGCGGGGACCCCACCGCCGGGCACGCCCGCCGGGTGTGGGGAGGGGGCGCGGCGCGGGCTGTCCCGCCTCCCCGGCGAGTTTGCAGCGCTTCTTTGTTCGCAGCCGCGGCTTTTGTGCTTGTTGACCGGGAGAGGGTGATGGGAGCGGCCCCCGCCCGCTCCCCTCCGGCTCGGACGGACGGCCCACACGTGTTCCGGACCCTCCCAGGTTGGGGTCGGGGGCACGGTGCCCCTCCTCGGCCGAGGCGGAGGGCTGCGGGGAGGGGCTGCGGGCTCGGGTCCGCGCTCCATGTGGTGGGAGAGTCCGCGGAGCAGCCGAGCAGCGACACCTCCCGCGTGAGTGTGCGGAGGTGGGCAAGGCCTGCGTCGGGAGGGGGGTCACAGGTCAAGGATCAGAGAATAGGCTGTGACACTCCCAGGCATCCCAGCCCCACCCAGTGCCCTCTACCCTCACGGGTGAGCGCTACATCTGTTTGCTCAGGTTGGGCAGAGTCCCTGGATCCCCCAGAGCCCAGCGCCGGCTCTGGAATGGGGAGTGGAGAGAGACACCCCCTCCCCGGGGAAGCCCTGAAGGGCCTTGTCCAGGTGCTGAAAGGAGCTCTCCTGCCCTCTGGTGCTGGGGCCTGGCTTCTAGGCGCGGAGGAAGCTAGGGGGCCACTGGGCACAGGAAGGATTTGAGGTTCTGCACACAGAGCGGGCTCCCTGGTTCCTGCCAGTCAGGGAGAATGGTGGGTCAGCCAGCTTTGGCTGGGCGGTGGCCTCCCAGAGGCCGGGGTAAGGGATGGGGTCTCCTGGTCATTCTCCTGGACCAAGGCAGGGACAGTTCGCAGGTAGCTCCCAACTCTGCCACAGGCCACAGATGGGCATTTGGGGTGTGGATAACTCACCCTCCAGGCTGGGGGAGCAGGGGCCAGAGCTGGGCCCAGCCTGCCCTTCTTTGCCTCAGGCTGAGGCCGGCAGACTTGGCCCAGATCTGAGACCCTGGGGGCATGGGAGTGGTTCCTCCAGGAGTTGTCCCCTTGGGGAATATGCCTTTTAAGGGCCACTTCCTGAGTCACAGGAAGTTCAGTTTGAGGAGCTGTTTGCTTCCCAAAGGACGAGCGAGGTAGAGAGCAAGGTGAGGGTCAGAGAGCGTCTCGGAAGTCCACCACTGAGCCCTCAGAGCAGCAAAGCATCCACCTCTGCAGAGCAGTCCTAGGAAATGTTGGGGTGACCTGAGCCTCCAAGCCTCTGGGCTGGTTGGGCTGTCCACTTACATTCCACCTCTGCTTAAACAAGGGCACTCCAAATTGCTCCTCAGACCATGCCTCTGTTTATCCATCGTAAAGGAAGTGGTTTGCAACCATCGAGCCCTGATGAAGGAAGTGAGGCCTGAGTGGTAGGTCCTGGGGGACAAAGATGAACAAACCAGGCACATCCCTGGCTCTCAAGGAGACCCTGTTCTGGTGATGTGAGCATGAACAGGGAAATGCAGTATGATGTGCTGGGCGCTCGGACAATCCAGTCTCTTCTGACTCTTTTCTGTTTTCCTCCCATGAGGGCAAAAGAAGACAGGCTTCTGACACAGGTTACAGCTGGAGGGATTTAAATCTGATCCGAGAGGAACTTCCTGATGGGGTGATTGATGATTGGTCCAAGGACTGTTAGGCAGAAGGCGAGTGGCTGAATCTCCAGAAGGTCTTACTTGGACTCCCTTGTCTGAGGGGTGGCTGGTTCTTTTCTTGCTGAGATTGGAGAGAGGCAAAATGCCCTAGAAGAAAAGACTCTCACGTAGGCCTCTCTGACTGATAGTACTCAAGTCAGCCATCTTGCTGGAGTGAGATTGGGGTGGGGAGCCCGGGGAACCCGCTGCATGTGGGGGTGCTTTGGGGCTGCTGAGTGTGTTTCTCTTTCCCCTTGGGCTGCCACAGAAACTAGGCACCAGGTTCAGCCCTATCTTCACCCTCCCATCCCTCCCACTTCCCTGGTGTGTTAATGTTTCCTTGAAAGGGACACTGTCTGCCCTGATCCACGATGGTGTGGGGGAGGGAGGAATATAGGGCACTGGTTGAAGTTAACCCTTGTTCAGCCACAAAGGAGTCAGGCCAGTCCTCTCCTTCGCTCCAGGGCTGCCAAGAGGGGGAATGCCAATCAGTCTGGGTGAGAGAGGCTCCTGGATGTATCTCCACTCTAGGACTGACCCAGAATGGCCCTTGCATCCAAAATGTGCACTATTCAGTCCTTAGGGCATGGGGCCCCTAGGGAGAGCCAAAGGTGCCCTACCCAGCCCTTTCCTGCCGGGGATGGGCCTGGGGGCAGCCACCTAACATCATAATGAAACCCTGTAGACCCTAGACATCCCAGCAGGGGTTCCCTGACCTCTGGTGCCCCTAGCACCCACTGTCCCAGAACACATCCAGGCTTTCCTCAAGCACACAGCAGCTGGGTTTCCCTGGCTGCCTCTTCTGCACTCCAAGAAAGCCCCACAGAGGCCCTCCCATGGGCAGGCTTGGCAATGCTGGCAGGCTGGGGAGGGGGATGGCATGGCAGGCTTCAGAGCAGATTCAGTGGCTTTGCTCAGTGCCCTCACCCCTATAGTGCTTCTTCGGGGCTGGAAGCAGGGAGCGGTGGGGAGACGGGAGGTGCTCACCAGGTGTTTTGGTGAAGGGAAGAGTCCATGACCACCCCTAGTTGGCACCCAGCAGGATGATGGTGGCTGGGCGCCCTGCTTCCTGTCACACACATGCCCTGCCAGACCGGGAGGGGGGCAGGGGGCCATAGGCCAGTGGATGTGCCAGTTTCCCCTTGGCTGACGAGGCCGTGAGGTTGGCTCAGCTGGCTGTGTTCTTGAGTCACAAGTCCCTGGTGTTCCCAGGGGGGCAGGAGGTGGAGGTTAGGCTGCAGAGCTCCCTGTGGGAGGGCTGAGGGGAGCAGGGTTCTTCCCTTGGCAACAGGCACTCTGGAGGGGGCCAGACTGTGTTCTTAAGGAATCATTTTCTTTCTTCCTGGGGCTGCCTCCATCATGGCCCTCCTCCCTGATTTCCTCAGTTCATCCTCCTGACCTAGAAGCAGGCAAGATGGGATTGTGGGGGCCCTAGATTCTCAGACAGAGGCTACCCCACCTGAGGTACCTGGTGTGTTCTGGAGCACCTGTGACCCCCTCTCCCCCTCAAGTAGGCAGTCCCACAGCTGATGAGTTGGGAAGCTCAAGAGAGGGACCTACAAACCTCAGAAACCCAACATCAGTGTGTCTGGGAAACAGTGGAGGGGCTGCATGGGGCAGGATGGAGGGGCGCTGCGTGGGAGGAGAGTCAGTAGGTGCCACCCTCAGCCACCCAGCTCAGCTTGAGGAAGCATCCCGCCTCCCTGACCCTTGAGTGAGCTCAGGCCTACCTGGTGGGAAGGCTGGGAAGCAGTGGCCACGCCAGCCTCTGGTGGTCCTCCTTGGGGCTGGGGGAGGCAAAGGAGCAGGGAAAGGAGACCAAGGCTAAGCACGCCAGGCTCTATGCTCTGGGCCCTTCACCTTTCTTCTCCAGCTGTATACATTTGGTGTGTCCTTGTAAGATTTCATCTAACAAAAGGATTCTGCTAATGCTAAACCAGTTTGAAAAATACCCTGCTAGTGCCTGTGGGCTCAGGGGGTACACAGTGTGCGAGTACACTGGCCACAAATGTGCGTGCTACGCATCAGTAGGCTCCTGCAGATCCAGAGGGCGTCTGAGCACACGGGTGCTATACACCTAGGAGAGCACACGGACCCTGAGCGTGGGGGCCAAAGGAGTAGGACTGGGTATTCCTATGGTACCTGTTCACGTGTGTGCGTGTCTAGGTGTGGGCCTGGGTAGAAGCAGGGCGTCCCTCTGCCCAGGGAGCCCCAGCCCCTAAGCTCAGTAGACCACCGCCCCCCCCCCCCCCCGCCCGCTTTTGTCCAGCGGACGCCTGCTGGGGTGCAGAGTTTCATTCTCCTGGTGGGGAGGGTCGGGTGTTAGGTTTCATGGGAACCTTTTTCATTCCAGCAGTGAAATAGCTGCAGGCCTTTGCTGAAGAAATGAATGAATTTGCCCACCTGGGCCCTGGGCAAGATGCCACTTCCACTGCAGGCCCTGCTTTGGGCGGGTTGGGGGAGCTTCTCTGGGGGTCGGCTGGGTGTATGCGGGGCGGGGGGAGGCCCACATGGACCCCCGGCAAACAGCAGGGCCCTGGGGACTGCAGGCAGAGCCCCTGAGGAGTGGAGGGAGGGAGCAGTGCCAGCCTCTCTCCAGGGCCTGGAGGTGAGACACCTGAGGGGGGAGGGGGCAGGTAGCATCTGGAACCCCCCGGGGGGGGGTGGTGCGGGCGGGGTGTCTTGCCCACTCCCTGGGGCCTTGTTAGCAGCAGTAGCGGGTCTGGGGCAGGGCTGGCGGCCCGGAGATGGCTCAGCTGCAGCTCCCTGGGAAGACTCCTGACTTCCCAGCTGGGGAGCTGTGGGCCCTCGGTCCCACCCCAGGACTCAGGGCCCACCTCGGTTGTTGGCCGCCTGGGGGCTCAGCCCATCCCAAAATAGGGAAAGAGTAAATAGTGCTCTCCCTCCTCTGTGGGGAGCTGGTGTAGAGGAGCGCAGGGTGGGGGCGCTCAGATCTCTAAGTCACCGCTCACAGGGCCACACGGGCCAGGCATACTTTGTTGTTTTTGTTTGTTTTTCCTGAGGTTCCTAATATATTTAAAAATGAAGAAATGAGGGCCCCTGGCTGGCTCCACCAGTAAAGCTTGTGACTCCTCATCTCAGGGTCATGAGTTCAAGCCCCAACTTGGGCATGGAGACTCCTTAAAAAGTTAAAAATAAACAATGAGGAAATGCCAACAGAGGGTTATAAAAATTATGTAAATTGCTTAAATTATTTAAAATGTTTTGTTTGTGACAATGGAGTTCATTCGCATGTTTTAAAACATATTTAGCTGTTGTTAGAGGCTTGTCATGAAAAGGCAGTAGTCCTCACCCCAGCCCTCCCCACCTCTCTCAT